TGAGAAGTATAAACATACAAAGAACTATTGTAATTGGTAAACCAAACAATTAGTTAATAGTGTTAGTATTTTAGTATTTATGCATCTTTGATTTAGTATATATCTATTTATCTTCAAGTATCACAATTAAAAAAATAAAAGAGAAAAAAAACGCCCAGAAACCGCTTAGGCGCCCGTCTTGGCGACTAAGCGCTGGGTGCCAAGTTCGACGCCTAGAAGCGCCCAGCGTTTAATGTAATGGCAAAATGTATACAGGATAAACTCTTCACAAAGGTGGAAAGTATCAATTAGGAAAAAGAGAAGACAATAAAAGTCGAAACCAGAACAGCTATCTTACTGAAAGAAGAGGTAATAAAGAAGTGAGGCTTTTTGATATTTCCTCCAGTGTTCGAGGAGGGGGGAGATCATCATCAACGTTCGCCATTGCCATCTTCACAGGATCTCCTGATACAGTGAGAGGCAATATCAGCCGTCACATGACAATGTCTAACTTTAACATTTATATAGGCTGATCAGCAATCAAGAGTTTGTATATGAACAACAGTAATATCGAAGAAATAGAATATATCAAGAATATTTCATCTCAATTGACCGTCTAGGTGGTTATTAGTTGGTCAGAAAACATAAAACTGGAGTTCAGAAGGAACACTTTAGGTGGGCACCTATTTCTTAATACTCAAACTGGAGAGAATCTTTCAATGTGCATCATTCAAGATGCTTTACTATAATTAGAGCAAACTGCATAAAATTTCACTGGATTTTGAGGGGTTCTACTTTCATTACATAAGTCGAAACGAGGCAGAAAAATCCCACACCTCAAGAGAAGGCAAGACAACTGATTATATTATTGACAATGGACGAATCAAACATTCAATTATATTCAATAAAATTACAAAGACAACATAAAATGAACATTGCATCACTCTTTATGCAACCTCTAAAATACTATGTCGGGAGGTTCTCCTTCGGCTCAAGGAACATGCTAGTAAAACGAAAAACAACCTAGACTAGATACTGTTTTATGCAGTTTGCCCATATATCTATCCTTTTGACTTTACACTCAGTAGTGAGAACATAAAATATACAGCTTGATTGGATTCAAAAAGTAAAACTGACTACTTACCCATGATGAAGCTAAGGACATAAGGAACTGCAGTGTGAATATCATCTGGCAAGGCCTCCAACACTGGGAGAAAAGGCTGCAGTTGTGAATTTCCAAATGATGTTGCTGATTAGAAGTCAAACATAGACAAAAGAAACAAATTAGATACTAGTCAAAAGTATGAAATACAGAACATTCAGGTGTAATGCACATTATTACAAACCTGGATTCACTAGTACTAGCACAAGGTCGACAGAAGGGTTTCGAGCAGCAACAGCAAGTGATAGGCATCCTCCAAAGGAGTCTCCAATGAGATAAATTGGTCTATTAGGAGAGAGAGCATGCTCATTCTTCACTGAGTTCTCAACAAAATTCACCAGACCTTCATGCATAAAAAATGAAGTCATATAACAATCACTAAAGTGTTTGGATTGATTTGAATATTAAAATTTTCCTTTGAGACACGATATTGGAGTGCGCATTTGACAAAAGTTTACGAAACATGATCATTTGAATATTGAATAAGTTGACACCTAATGAGAAGAGACAAAGATGCAAGGGAACAGTGAGAACTCTCCACCTCGCACTCGAGAATACTATAACTTTGGATTAATTCCTTACAATTAATATCAATTTTATGTGACTTGGCTTTAATATTCTCTTGAAGGAAAGTCATCATGAACGAAGAAGGGAGAAAAACTCTCTATAGAGACATCAAATTGCAACATCAATTTAATTTACAAAAATGATCATTCCATTTTGGATACCTGACCTCCAAATGTGTATATTGCGGATAACTATACTGTACAGTCAATTATAATGTTTTAAATGGTTCTAATATATTAGCATTTCTTGCAATTAGCAGCTAATTCAAATGAATATGCAGAAGATCCATAGTAACCAGAGTATGCCAGTCATGGTAATCCTGTAAAACATCAAGCATGAAACAGATTCTAAGTATCAGAGGTGATAGTTAGCAAAATGGGTTAGTGAGATGAACTTTAATTGTCAGCTGTAAGTGAAGCCAACCCAATCATTTGCCACTTCTAGAAGTTTCATTTTACCCATGGTCGTGATTATGCGTTATGAATTGGTTCATGCACCTCTAAGGTGAATTCACTTGTGGGCTAAACGTGGTACATGAATGTATTAAAAAAAATCCTTAGCACATAAATGCGTAATCTAAAATCGAATCATTGCAGTTATTGGGGACGCACATATTCAGCTAGTACACTGAACCAGCTATTTCAATCGATTGTATGGACAGGATACACAAGAGGCAAGGTTGTCCCACAAAATAACATGGAGACTTGCCTTTCTTGGTTTCTGTAGTTAAAAAAAAGCAGTAATGATCCTGAGACCTCCATCAGAGCTCTTATCTTTCCAGAGGCACAGAGTTTGATCCCGAAGTTTAACAAATGCAGAGCTTACTTGAGGTGAAGTCCTTCAAAGATGTCTTAATTACTTTCATTTCTGTGTGTAGTTATTGTCAGTTGTCTAATTTTCTGTATATAATTCTTCATACATGCATAAACATGCACTAATGTAATGTGCATGAAAACTTTTATATTCATGGATATACAAATACATATATATATACTCACATACACAATGAACTATGCGATGCATATATTCTATTAAAGAACAGCAAAAAATTGTAACCTCATATCATCTTCTAACTCAGCTTTTTTGAGTTTTTAAGTGTTAGATAAACAAACATGCCTTTTTATGTCCATTACTCTTACAAAAATTGAGCATGTTGGATTTGGGTTTAATAATGCTACCAGAACCTCCAATTTGAATAGGGGCATTTCTACATATTATGGCTTCAGTTTATTTAGAGAATCGAAAATAACACAACTTATAATGGGGTAGATTGGATTCATTATGTGACTGCACCTTTAACCTTTGGTGTTTTATTTGTTTTTCATATTTCTTATTTTTCCATCAAAGAGAGTAAGATTGATTGAGTGAATCAAAACTAAATATAGTGCATTGCTTTGTATAACTGTTATAAACACATCTCGCTTCAATAAAAATGAATCATAAAACAGTAAATTCATTAAAAAATTGAATCTGACATTAGCTTTCTAGTGTGTATACATGCATAGACACGCATAGAACATCTTGTATGCGTGCACTAAAATCTTTGATTACTATCAAACCAAAGTTGTAGGTTTTCCATATGAAAGCAATAAAATATAACCTAAGGAAAAATTTGGATAAGGTTAACAATTCTTTCGACTCCTTTTTTTTTTGCGCAGATGGCATCCTGGAGTACCTGGATGTCACAAGATTATGAATGGTCTCATCTAAAAGAATAACGACAAATGATGATCTTGGATAAGGTTTGTAAACAATTCCATCTTTTTGTTTTTGTTAGCCGATGTTTATCTAAGTTTTGTAGACAATTTCAACTTTTTATGACTACAGGTAAATGGAAGTGCCCAGAATTGAGGTTCAAATTGAAAATGAAGCGGCTTTAAAACATGATATGAACATTTTCAAGTTGCTTGTCTTGTTGTATGAGGACTTATCAATATTCAAAAAATTTGTAATCAATTATGTTGATGTATGGAATCACACGGTTAGATAAATATAGATTAAGTTGACGGAGGTTCTTTAACTTTCCGAATGTCTGGACCTCGAGCAAACTACTGTTCTTTATAGCTGTTTTAGTAATGAAAATTAATCTCTAATCAATGGCAGACAAGTGTCACATATTATGTATAATCAAGTTAGCCTCTCAAGATAATCAGAGGCCCCATTCAGTCGACTCGACACACCGACATCTTGCGAGGATGACTCGAAATGCGTCACATGTCGGTGACCCGAGAGGCAAGGTTTTAAATATCGGATATCAGGGAAATATCGGATGGTCAAAATTCATATCGGATTGCGGATATCGGGGAAATATCGGGGATATGTGGTAAATATAGGAATGCCATAATGAATGTTTGCATAC